TTGACCACTCTGTCCCGGAAGAAATTTCTCCTAATATCCAATCTAAACCTCCCCTGACGCAGCTTGAGCCCATTTCCTCTCGTCCTATCACTTGTTCCTTGGGAGAAGAGACCAACACCCACCTAACAACAACATCAGCGCTACCCTCGCCCCACACAGCTGCCGGGAGGAAAATGCTTTCTGGCTCACTGCTGTTCTCCTGCCCGCTCCAAGTCCACGTGCCCCCAGCAGCGCGGAAACGCCTCCCCCCACAGTCAGCACCGTCATTCCCGAGCACCACAGCAGCACAGCCGGGAGCACTGGGTGCTGCGCCCACGGCCTCCAGGCAGCGGCCCGAGAAGGGCTCCCCGGGGAGACGCGCCGCACCCCAAGGAGCGTACACGTTCTGGAGGGCTTCACATGCGAGAGACCTGTAACGCTGAAAATTAAGGGTCCATTTATAAACCCTTTATTAATAAATGATTAATAGATGCAGCCATATTTTTTAATAACTTACAATAAAAAGATGCTACAAAAAGCTTAAGCAAGACATTCTTTACAGATGGTGCTATAAAGTAAATTATACCATGTACAGTAGCTAGTGCAAAGTAATGGATGTCCTCATTTAATAAAAAGAATCTGATTTTATGCAGCAACTTTCACGCTTGAGGCATCTCAATACACTTTAATGAGCCCTTGTGGCCTCAGCAATAGCTTGCACGCAGCCGCGGACATCAGATGCTGTTTTAGTAACAGAGTGGATGTTGGTCAGGACACTGGGGTTACTCCACAGGCTTGATTTTTAACCTTTCCTTGGACAGCTACCAAAAGCAGACGGAAGGGTCTGAAAGATGCCACCTCCTAACACTGCACTGCAGGGAACAACAAGCTAGCCTTGGTCCGGGGCCTGAAATGTCTTCTAACTAAGGGAGAAAAAGAGCATTACTACCACCACCGAAACCAGACTGGCATCTGTATCCACGACTATAAGGCATGCCGCAAATTATGTAATTTAATAAACACTGTAATAATAAAGTATTTATTTTGTATAATGAAGTGTTAGTGATTAGAAACCAAACACACATTGGGCATGCTGCTGCGGTTCTCTTGAACCCTTGCCAGTATCACTCAAGGCTAAATATGTCTGCAGCAGGTTGAGAGTAAGTTCCTAGCCTTGTTTTGATCAGCCTGTCAAGTGTTTTAGCTGCCATTCGAGTTTCTTTATATCACACTATAATTGGCTGCTTTCTCAAGGTGCAGCAAAGGAAAAAAAAAAAAAAAAAAGCACACAGCAAAACTCAGGCTCCTTTTGCAAAATCCTCCACTGAAACTCTGCTGCTTTTCTGAAAGCTGATTTCAGTAGCAAAGGGCATTTTGTAAACAGCTGGTGAAAATAGACTGGAACTGAAAGGCAGCCTGCATTAAACTCCACAAGAAAGCCTTATTTACCCTCATGTGCTTTCTTTGTAGTGTCGATCAAACCACTTTCAGCTCCCAGGGGAGGCCCTCGGAAAAATAAAGGGAATAAAAAAAAAAAAAAAGAAAAATAGAAAAGCAAGTGACATCGTTCAGAGCCCGAATGCACCTGAGCGCCCTCGGAACAGCCCTCGCTGCGACAGGCGCGCTTGCCACGTCGACCTCCCTGCCCAAGTTCAACCTTCAGGGTCAACCAGCCGCCCTCCGGTGCTGTCCCCGCTTGCCCTTGGTTGTCAAGTCTGGGGGAAAGCTTTGATCAGAGAAGGCAGGCGGGGTGTCCCGCTCCCCCGCACCTGAACCCATCCTTCAACGTCAGCTCATTGATTTGCAGATGTCGGGGGGAGACAGAGCGGAGAAAAACACAAGGGTATAAGGGACAATCCATCACCGGTGGCACAGGACGTGGAGAAACGCGCCCTCCAGAGGGGCCTTGCTTCCAGGCTGCTGCCACCACGCTCTTCGGCCGCCTCACCAGCATCACCAGCGCCGGGCATGCTCCCAGCCCCGGCTTTGGTGGGGCACGTGTCCCTGCTGCACCCTGAGCTTTTAGGGTGACACCCTAAAGACAGGGGAAAACAACTGGGCAGCCACCATTGAGGAGACAGCACTGGCTACATTTGCCAGGCGACCTCCCTACCTCCTTCTTCCTATTTACCTTGGAAATGGGAATGCAGAGCTGCCCCTCAGGGATTCTGGGGCTGCTCCCCCCCCAAAAGGATCAGTGCTCAGGCAGCAACTGGGTGTTCGGGTGTCAGGGCCATCTTGAAACAAGAAAGGAAGTGCGCATTTTCTGTGGTCGCTTCTCCGAGAAGCGGAAATAAGCAACAAAGAATCACGCGGTCCTGCAGTCGCTCGGATCAGAGCCTGGGCTCACCCATCCCCTGAGAGCAGCACAGCCAAAGGCTCCTGGGTGCATCCCATACTTTTGCACTTTGTCCTTTCAGCGTGACGAGGCCGCCCAGCATATGAATAAATATAAACAGGTAAAGCAGCCTGTCTAGTTACAAAGCACAGGCTTGTCGGGCTCTTTTCACTTTCCCAGGGAGTTCTGCACTGACAATGCACATTTCCTTTCTGCTACGAGGCGACACCAGCACCTGCAAACCCAACTGCTCCCTTAACAGTGACGCTGCAGGCTCCAACGTCTCTCACACCACCCACGACACTGGGAGACGTCGATGAACAGTGCTGGATCCCAGCGGCCGGTAACTGCAGGAACTCTACTACCTTACTGTTGGTTGCCCTCTTTCTAGTCCCTTTTCTTCCTCTCTTTAGGCCGGCTGCCTGCCATCGCTGCAAGGAACAAAAGAGAAGCAGAGCACTGGGACTGGTGTTTCCTGTCTCAGCTAGAAAATAACATTATAAGCGTGTCTCTACTGCATTCAAGTAAGGTTTCCCTCCTGCCACCTTTCCTGCAAGGCTGCAAGAAGCTCTCGATTTGCAAACTCCCTCTCATATCGCCGAGTCTAAACCGACAGATCTGTTAACACTCGTTTCTCTGCAGAGGAAGAGCGATGTTTCCACACAAGTGATGAGTACCAGTATTTCCTCTTATCTGGGCTGCAAGAAACCCTAAAGCCTGCATTCTGTCATGCAATGTGCTACAAAACACCGAGGACATAGGATGGGAAGGGAAAACGCGACCTACTATGAATGAAATACCCAACAAGCAGCATAGCTTCAAGCAGCACACTGCTAGCGTGCAAGAGAAAAATCCAGTATTTCCACCTTTCCTGGGACCAGAAAATTAACAACCCTCATTCTGGGTGCAGATGCTCCTAGTGGGTGCTCAGGAGGGCCCAGCTCCAGTCAGAGACCCTCAGCATCACGAGGAGAGGCAGCGTAGCGTTACGATTGCATATGTCACGCTTAAACAAGCTGTAGCCTCCGGAGGAGCACGCTTAACCCCAGACTGAGTGTCCAACTGAAAACATTTTTTAACAGACACTTTGTGAACCGCATGCAGCCAGTGGCTAAAGAGGCTGGAATTCTTTAAGAACTTATTTCCAAAGTTGCTCTAATTACAACGCATGGGGTCTTGCCGCTGAATTTCAAAGACAACGCGCAATCCCTCCAGGCTTACCATCTGTGCGCTGAATTCGGGTAACATGATGCATGTCGCTCCCACCCAGAGAGGACAGAGGAGCTTATTGATCACCCCGTGGACATGATGTAAAGGCAGCACGTGCAGAATAACATCCTCCTTCTTCCACTCCCATTTTTCAACCAGCCCTGTGGTCTGCAGAAGAAAACATACGACCCAGCGTTAGGGCAGGAGGAAAGACCCTCACCGCTTGAAAAGCCCGAGGCATCCAGGCCCCAGGTCCCCTGGGTACAGCTGGCGGCAGAAATCCCAGACTTCCTGGAACGACGCCTGGGCATAAAAATCTTTCCTTTAGGGTCAGCATGAGCAAAATTCCCACCACAAGAGCAGAATACAAGAGGAACACCTTCTGCATCTTGTCGGTACATACCTTCACATATATCAGCAAAGTCCTTCCTCACTACTGAGAAACGGTCAACAATGATTTCAAGTAGGACCTACAAAATTATCAGCCTGCTGCTGCACAGGCAGAGCTGGCAGAAACAGTAACCAAACCCACTAATTTACCCCAGAACTCTGTTTACGTAGTTTGGACACTGATGACATTGGGCTTTTAGCGCCTGTAAAAGGCATAGTCAGTAGGAGCAGAAAATCACTGTCTGATAAACAGAAAGTAGGCTTCATGTTAGTAAAAAAAAAAAATGAGTATATCCAGCTTCTAAAATACTCTGCTATGAAGCATTAGACCTCAGGCTTCTGGGTGAACAATGCCCTTCAGAGCCCATCGTTAGCAACTGGAAAGCTTATTTCCAGCCATCTAAAAATAAAAAAGCATTTGAACAGTGGAATTTAGTCATGTCATTTGCAACCCTCTTCCACAGGGCAGGGAGGAGGTTTTAGGCTTTCGGCAAGACAGCACAAAAGACGGTGACTGCTCAGGCCACCTCCCAAATGATCAGCATATTTGTAAGGGAACAGATTCTTTGCCCAATATAGCCAAGCCCTGGCTCTATCCATCAAGGCTTTCATACCACTCCCGACATTGCAGCGTCTGAGCACCCAGAGCAACGCAAGCTCTCGGAGGCGTCCGTAAGGCACGATGTATTCCCTGCCCTTTTTCCCTAATGGCATGATTCTATCAGTTGCAGGCAGTGATAACCAACTGGTGAGGTAGTCAGCAGGTTCATTCAAACTTTTAATTCCTTTTGGCTCGGAGAGCTAATGGGTTTTTTGCCTTGGGGATATATAGCTGAATAATGCACAGACTTCACACAGTACTGTACTGGGCTGGGCTAAGTTACATTCCAATTAGGGGCAAAGATTCTTTCCTAGGCGCAGTGAAGAAAAGCAAACTGCAAAGAAAGCAGTATTTTTACAACAGGTCTCATCCCTTCTGCTTTTCAGGAAAGCAAGAAGAGTCCCTCTGCCCCCGGCTGCAGCTGCAGCACAGCAACACCAGAAGGACAAGGTTTAGAGCCTCAAACGCTCTCCTGTGTGTTCACCTTAAAAGTGTTGAGGACTTTCAAGATACAGCCCCACAGCTCTGTGCAGGAATTCGGTTGTGGTAAGGCGCGTTGTGCTTTGGGGGTTCGCAACCCCAAAATGACCTCTGAAGACCCAGACCCTGTCACTTGACACGAGCTTTGCAGAGGGAAAGCAGCACTCACCACGGCTTGCACGTTCTCATGGGTGCTGAGGACACCTTTCGGTCTTCCCGTCGTCCCACTGGTGTAGATTATCATGGCTCCTCTGTCTTTCCAGGAGGAGCAGGTTGTCAAGGGACCCTCTTCCACTGCTGCATGACTTGCGGATCCATCACTATGAGACCGAAGAAGCGGCAGAAGCGGGACTCCCAGCTTCTCAGCGCTAGGGGCTATTTTCCCCACATATTCCTCTGCCGCGATGACTAGAGCGCTCTGCGAATCCTGAATCACGTACTCCAGTTCCTGCACGGGGTGTTTCTTGTAAAGGGGTACCGCTATGCCCCCGCTCATCCAGGAAGCCCACTGGGCCACCACATACGAGGCATCATTGGGACACAAAAATGAGATCCTCTCTTCCTTCAAGTCCCTGCTGGAGCACTCCAGGGCTCTACAGATCTCCTGGGACAAGCGCAGGCTCTGGTTGAGAAGGTCCCTGTAAGTGTGCTCGCCGCTTTGGTCAATGATAGCGACTTTATCACCGAAAGCCAAAGCCCTAGTGAAGACGGGGGTAACGTCACTGCTGTAGGCTGCCCGGGTGGTTTGCAGACCCCTGCGGGGACAGCCAGACCTTTTCTGGCCACGCAACCCCCATCGGCAACGGCGCACGTCCTGGATGAGGCATCGGAGAGACCGGCTCGCTTGGGGGAAGAGCAGGGAGACCAGCATCCTGCCAGCACTGCTTGTTTTGAAGTGATTCTGCAGAAAGCAATTATAGGAACAGATAAGTATGTGCAGCGATTACCCAAGGGTTTATTCCCACAAAGGAAAAGTGGCAGCCTTCATTTGAATAATACCCACTGTATTATTAATGTTTATGGTTCAGACTGCCGCATCCCCAGTGTGCCAGGCCCCGTGCGGATGGAACAGGAGACAGAGACCCTTCCGTACGCAGCCTCCGCAACCCTAAAAAACAGTCTAACTTAAATTATGAAATAGCTTTCATCGATCGGTAATATTAGGACACTAAGTAGTGGCTACTTGAGGTGCCATGCTAACTCAGTGGGACCAGCATTTAAAGAAATTAAAGACACCAGTACCTAGCTCTCAGTTTGCAGTTTCCACCACTTTGGTAAACCACTGCCTTGCTCTGTGCATCGAGTCAGGCAGCACGGAGCTAGACGTGAAATCCAGACCTCTTGAGGTCTAGTCCAGCGGATCGTTTCCTGCGTGAGCTTTCCTCCGAGCAATAGCACATCTAAGTAGAGGAAAGTGCCCAAACCCTGCCACCTAACGGGTCATCCATCACAGACACCGCTTCAGCTCAAAAGCTTTCTTACGTGACAGACCGAGTGGTTAACAGCTCCCAAACAGCCACAGGCAGCAGGAACCCTCCCCGCAGGGAGCAGCTGGTTTGCCCAGCAAACAGCAGCAGGGAAGCGCAGCCCTGCACACGCTAACCCGTGGGCTTGTTACTTCTGAAAGTACCAACCAGGCAGCACCTGGAGCCGAGCAGAGCATCGGGACAAGCTCAGCTGTGGCACCAGGGCTCTAACAGGGCAGCCAGAGCTTGACCTGAGCCCAACCCAACCATCAGCCCGGCCCCTCTGCCACAGCGGTGACGTGATGCACAGGGGCATTGCAACAGAGAAAAATCTCCAAAAAGGAACGGGGAGGCGTACCGGCACCATTAAAGGCTTTACGGGAAGATCATGGGCTGGCACAAATGTCGTGCATTCTGCCTTTGTGCTTAGACAGCACGATGACATCAACCTATCCGCTCAAGGGAGAAGTTAGCAAAAAAGCTCTTTTGGTAACTGGTAAGAAGTGCCTGAAGTTTGCTCTTTACCCCTCTTTTCATCACGCTCTCCCTTTCAAAGGGAAAGACGTGTGTAATAGTATCGGACGCTGCTTGGAGCATCTCACTGAACCATGAGGGGAAAAAGTTAACGCACGGTGCAAAAATCCCATAAGAATATAATGGGGAAATGGGACTACAGGACCACTCTGCAGGGGAGACCGCTGGTACACCAGAGACGAGGGGAAGAAGCGATAAATTGAGAGGGCCGAGGAGTTGCCTTGGAAGAATCCTGACCTGCTCTGCACAGAGCCCGGAGCTCTAGCTGGAAGCTCATCAGGAACAAGCACCCTCTCCATACAGAGGCCGTCACCGACGCCAACAGGGGAGCCGAGAGGCAAGAACAGGGCTGTGGCAGAAGAAAAAGGGCTTTACTGCATGGGCTATCTAATGGCTGCTATTAACCACCACCACAAGTATCCCCAGAGAGATACTACGACACGAGGCGATAGCCAAAGGATGGCAACTTCTCGCTTTGTAAAAGCATATGTGACACTTCCTTGACGCTGGCAATAACGACTTGAATTTTTACAAATTTTTTTTTATAAATGCCTATTAGTGGAGCAGCTCAACTCAACTAGCCTCCCAGCTCAGCTTCCCACCATGGGGAGGAGCTGAAACAAAAAGGATCCAGAGAACTGGCAGCTACTCAGGGACAAGCTGAGCGTGGCTTAACCTGGCTCGGGCTGCTCAGACATGTCCACAGGCAGCACCCACCAACGGAGGCAAGTGTTTATTTCTGCACAGACGTAGCTGCGAGACCTGCAGACTCTCCCATCGACCTTCAGAGCATTTCTCCAGCCAAACACTGGCTTTGCACGTTATTTTCTTTTGCATATCGACCTCAATTTCTGCTTCTGCAAAAGAAACTTGTGATTTAGTGCGGAAACATCTGGGGGGGGGAGAGGCTTTAAACCCAGAGCGTGGTAACCATGTGCGCTCATGACATATACCATCAGGATGGAAAAAAACCAAAACAGGTCCCGACAAAGCTCGCATGACATCTTTCCATTTCTCTGTAGAGAGTAAATATAAAATAAAAACACCATCCGTAACCTAAACCGAATCACCTCCTCCCAAGCTGCACCCAAGGCCGAGATGTTAATGCCCCAAACGTTAAGAGGGGCCTTAATTGGAAGCGAGCGTTTGCCAGCATCACGCTGTGCTCCAGCCCAGCTAAGTGCACTTGGCGTACTCGCCGTTCCTCGCACGGCTCCCGGAGCAGGTGTTAGCTGCTGCTTCAGAACAGCCACTTCCAAAAAATTCCATTATCCCCTTCTCACCACAGCGCCAGATTTAATGGAACAATAAACAGCGGCACCTTTAGCCAGGCCTGTGCATTTACGGGCATCAGAAAGCGAGTGTCGACTGGGTGTGTGCGGACTTACAGACACTCGGGACGGGGTGAAGCGACACCAGGGACTGCGCCCTTTATCCGCTGTTGCTCAGCGATAACCGGTAACGCAGGCTCTGGCAGAGCACTCCTGAATATGAAATTTGTCGCTGGGGGCAGAAGCTCATGGCAGCGCAGCAGGTGAGCCTTTGCTGCCTTGGAGGAGAAGGCTGAACCCCCAGCCTCCTATGACTAAAGTAAGAAACGAAAGCGGTTGGGGAAGCTCATGCCAGCTCCCGGCACGACAAAACCACCGCCAAGCGCGGCGGCGATGGAAGGCGCGAGGCCGAAGCGCTGCAGACCCCACGCCCCGCATCTCTGCTGAGGAGGATCGGCTTTATTCTCCTCTCCTCCCAGGCAGGATTTCCACCCTCCAGCTCTCTGCCCCTCGCCCTACTCACATGAAACCTCAGAGCAGCAGCAGGAAAATCCTTCACCCCGGGATTTCCGAGCTACGGAGGGGGAAGCTCGGCCTC